CCCTTTCCCCCAAACCTGGAACGGCAAACCTCTGTGGGCTCCGAAGCTGCTCCCTCCTCCTCCATGGGTGCGCAGCAACCGCCGGCAGGCTCCCCCACTGTCTCTCTCCGCCCCCGCGCTGTGGCCATGGCTGGATAACCCAACACCGCGGGAGCACTCCCGGGGGACCCCCTAGCCGACCGCGGCACGCACACGCATGCACCCCGACACTCACCAGCCACACGCCACGTGATGGGGGGGGAACCCGGAGGTCCAGGATCCCCAGGCCCCCCCCGCCGCCGCGGGAGCACTCCCGGGGGACCCCCTAGCTGACCCCGACCCCGGCACACACACGCATGCACCCCGACACTCACCAGCCACACACCACGTGATGGGGGGGGAACCCGGAGGTCCAGGATCCCCAGGCCCCCCCCGCCGCCGCGGGAGCACTCCCGGGGGACCCCCTAGCCGACCCCAACCCTGGCACACACACGCATGCACCCCGACACTCACCAGACACATGCCACATGATGGGGGGGGAACCCGGAGGTCCAGGATCCCCAGGCCCCCCCCACCGCCGCGGGAGCACTCCCGGGGGACCCCCTAGCCGACCCCGACCCCGGCACACACATGCATGCACCCCGACACTCACCAGCCGCACGCCACGACCCTCTTCAGTGAATATGTGGGATCTAACAACAGCTTCTGCTCATTTGATTGTTAGTGGCCTTAGTCAATGGTGTGGTAGGAGATTTGGTAGTTGGAATATTTGATGAAGCATTAATTATAATTTGCCTCATCAAGTATCTACTTACACATCCCAGAAATTGATTTACTTAGAGTGAAGGTGTGCCAACATTGATCAGAATCACATGCATGTCAACGAATTACATTTCCATAATCATACAGGTAGGTAAGTTTTACTTGCACAGTGCTCCGTACAGTAATGTCAGTTTTGGGTGACTACTCGATCTGTGAGGGTGGTTTATACACTATACAGTCAATTCGAGTTCGTTCTCCAATTTTCCTATTAGAACACTTGCATTGTATGAGGTACCAGGATATTCCCAATTATTCAGTACTCTCGTTCCTTGGAGGAACAAGATGGATTGTGGCAGATGGATTGTATTGGTTCAGTTCGGATGGATTCAGAATATCTGTATTTATAGTAAATCATAGACTAGAACTCCCATTATAGGCCTGAGACCATAATGATTTTTGGGCAAGAGTTTGATCTAACACCAATGTACTTATCAGTTCAAAGATCAGCACTGAGAAGGCTTCAGAGTAGATGATTCCTCTCCCGAGGTCCATGCTTCCTCTGGAACCCTCTTGACTCGAGAGCAGTGGATCCCCGTGGGTTTCTCTTTCACCCAGATCACTATGAAGGTGGTCATCAACACCTGGAAGGGTCCATCCCACTTCTCTCGTAGTGGATCTCCTGAAAGATTCTTAACATATACCTGATCACCAGGGTTGAATGGATGTAACTTACAATCAGGCTGCTTGGGTTGGTGTTCTAACACCACTGTAGCATTTTTCTGCAATTGTTTTCCTACAGCCATAACATGATCGTACACAAACTGATTATTGATTTGATCTAAAGCTTCACTATTCACAGCTTGCATCACGTAGGGTCTGCCCAATAGAATTTCAAATGGACTCAGTTTCTCTATTGATCTTGGCTTGACCCTTAGCCTGATTAAAGCAATAGGTAAAGCTTGATACCAATGAAAATTTGTTTCTTGACATATTTTAGATTCATCTTTTCTACTTGCCCATTTGCTTGGAGTCTGTAGGGCATATGCAGTTGCCAATTGATTTTTAGTGCTTTGCTTATTGTTTGTACAGTTTGTGCACAAAAGTGTGAACCTCTATCTGAAGAAATGCTCTTAGGCATTCCAAACCATGGTATAATCTCATTCAACAAGACTTTAACCACTCCTTTTGATTCATTTTTTTCTACATGGGAAAGCTTCAGGCCATCCAGAAAATGTGTCAGTCAAAACTAAGAGATAACAGGACTCCCCCCTTTTCTTGGGAGCTCAGAGAAATTAATTTGCCAAATTTCATCTGGGAAATGCCCTTTACTTATTGCCCTTTGGTGTATTTTTGTTCCAGTATTTCAGACAAAGTTCACATTGGGATGTGACTTGCCCTATTGTTGTAAATAAATTTGGTCCTGCTACTCTAGTCTTTAAATGCTAATAGAGTGAGTCTAAGCCCTAATAGTTTTATCATGTTTTACTTTTACAAATTGCCACACTAATTTTTCTAATAGTGTTAACTGACCTGTTTTTGGTTAACCTCACCCATCGTCTAACAGCTTACCTTCATTTTCACTTATAATCTGTTTCTTGATATTCTACCTGTTGGTCTGTGTCTAGTTCTTCTAGCACTAAAGCTGCTACTGGTAGTTCTTTACTTCTTGCAGCAGCTAATTCAGCTTCTGCATCAGCTTTTCTGTTTCTTATTTCCAGGACAGTGTTACCTTTCAGGTGTCCTTGGCAGTGCATAATTGCCACCTGAGAGAGGAGTTGTAGAGCTTCTAATGATTGTAGAGTTTCTTCAGTATGTTCCACAACTTTTCCTTGAAGAGTTAAAAGTCCTCTTTCTTTCCAAATTGCTCCATGAGCGTGACCTATGCCAAAGGCGTATTTGGAGTCAGTCCAGGTGTTAATTTGTTTTCCTTCTGCCAATCCTAAAGCTTGAATGAGAGCCATCAGTTCTGCTTTCTGGACTGAGGTTCCTGCAGACAAAGGATTTGATTTGATTACCTCAGTAGTGGTGGTCGCAGCATACCCAGCCATCCTCACACCTTGTCTTATGAAACTGCTGCCATCGGTAAACCAGTCTTCTGCATCCAGGGGTGGTTCTTCTTTAAGGTCCAAGCAGCTGGAGTGCACTGCTTCGATGGTTTCCAGGCAGTTGTGCGTGACAGGTGCAGCCGAGATTCTTCCTTCTAGGAATGAAGCTGGGTTAAAAGTGTTAGTCACCTGAATGGTTATGTCATCCGATTCAGCCAGGATTACCCGATATTTCAGAAATCGGGAGGGTGACAGCCAATGATTTCCTTTCTGTTCCAGTACTGTAGACACAGTGTGGGACACTAACACAGTCATTTGCTGTCCCATTGTACATTTCCTGGCTTCTTCTAGATCTATGATCATTGTTGCTACTGCCCTTAGGCAGGTGGGCCATCCTTTGCTTACTTCATCCAATTGCTTGGAGAAGTAGGCTACTGTTCTTTTGTATGGCCCTTGTTGCTGAGCCAGGACCCCCAGAGCCATTCCTTGTCATTCATGTGAGAACAACCAAAAGGGCTTCGTTACGTCAGGCAATCCCAATGCCGGGGTCCTTATGAGTTCTCATCTCAGCTGTTTGAAGGCTCCACTTGCTTCGGGGGTCCAGATGAGGTTGCCCTTAGTTATTTCCAGCAGGTCATATAAAGGTTTTGCAATTAGTCCATACTGATATATCTATAAACAACACCAACCTGTCATTCCTGGAAAGGCTCGAAGGTTTCTCACCATCTGTGGTTTCGGTGTCTGGCAGATGTTTTCCTTTCTCGTTGTCCCCAGAGATCATTGTCCTCTCGATACTTCATATCCCAGGTACATGACTTTCTCCTGGACCAGCTGAGCTTTCTGTTGAGAGACTCGATACCCATTTAAGTCCAAAAAGTTTAAGAGGTTTACTGTCCATTGGACACATTCTCCTTGTTTTTCAGTAACAATCAATAGATCATTCACATATTACAAAAGTACACCCTCTCCTGGTGGTGACTGCCATTGTTCCAATTCTTTAGCTAATTGATTCCCAAAATTGTGGGAAAATTTTTGAACCTTTAAGGTAACACTGTCCAAATGAGCTGAGTTTTCCTTCCTGTGGTGGGATTTTCCCACTTGAAGGCAAATATCCTTTGACTTTCCTGTGTTAAGGGAAGGCAGAAAAAGGCATCTCTTAAGTCTTAACACTGTGAACCAAATTACACTTTAATATTGTTAATAGGGTATATAGGTTTGCAACAGCTGCATGTATGTTTTAGCTATTTTATTAACTGCTCTTAAATCCTGAGCCAACCTATGTGTTCCATTTGGCTTCTTGACTGGTAAAATTGGGGTGTTGAAATCTGATTCACACTCTACAAAAAGCCCTAATTTCAAGAAGCTATCTATTATTGGCTCAATTCCTTTTCTATTTTCTAGCCTCAGTGCATATTGCTTCCTAATTACTGGGTTTGCTCCTGGTCGTAATTCTATTTGAATGGGAACTGCCCATTTTGACTTTCCTGGTGTTTCAATAGCCCAAACTCCTGGGTATACCTGATCTAAAATTTGATTGACATTTGAATTATCCTGGCTTGGCTCCACATAGCTCATTGCTAAACTCAGAGCTGCTATTAATTGTTCTTCCTTTACCTTAAATTCAATTTTACCTTCTTTGAATTCTATTACAGCTCCCAGATTTTCCAATTTTGAACTTCAGGGGTTTCAAAAGAAAGCTTTTCTGATTGGCCAGTGGCACCCACGACTTAAACATATTTATCACTTCTAGGTATTAATTTTTGATTCAAAACAGAAAATGTAGCCCTGGTATCAATTAGAAAATATAATTCTTCTTTTTCTTCCTCTAGCTTAGTTTTTACCGGCAGTTTTTACCTGTTAATTCAGGGCATTCTTGCTTCCAGTGTCCCTCTTTTCTGCAATATGCACACTGGTTCTGACCCAGCCTTGTCTGTCAGGGAGGCAAACCTTACATCTGTTACACAAGGCTCTACATATAACCAACAGTTGCAAAATGAACAAATCTTAATTCTAGGTCTTATCCAAAGTGGTGTGCTTATAGTTCACTCTTCAGCACTACCTCTCACATAGCCATTCTTACCATGATAATACCTTTAACTATGTGCTCCTGGATGTTTCAAGCAAGGTATATCAGGTACACAATAATTTTTCTGAAAACAAAAAAGACAACCTTGTTTCCCTCAAAATAAACAATATTTGGCCAAATACAAACAAAACCAGACCAGACCAGACCAGAGGGGATGTTCACCTGGAAGAGCGTCCTTTCCCATATCCCTGCGAGTGCCGGCGTCCCGCCTTCGGCTTATGGGAATCCAGAACCAGAATAACCAGAACCAGAATAGACAAAACCAGAAACCAGATACAAATACCTTTTATCAATAGGCAGTGTTCTTTTCCAGCCCCCGCAAGAATCCACTGAAGAAGGGATTCTTTTTGCCCTTCAGGTAAAAAGACTCACCCGAGGGCACCCTAGGGGGTCCCATCCTCCGAGGGATTCCGCAGCCAGGTGGAGAAGGTGTCCTGCCACGAGCTGCCAAATGAATCTGAAAAACTTGGTCCGAAAGACTGCTCAGAGACTTTTTTTGTCTTTAAGCAGCAAGGTATTTGTTTATTCAATGTTGGGAGCAAGCCAGCTCGCACTGGATAAACTTGCTCAACTTAAAAGTGCAAAAGCAAGCTATTTTATACACTTTAGATCCATGGTTACATCATGTATTATACATATTAACAAGCAGGCTGGTCTCTGGGCAGAGTCTTTCCAGTCATGCATAGTCTTCTACTGTGGGGGTCTTCTCCTCAAGCCTTCATCCCTCTGGTGGTCACCATGGACATCTTCCTCAATTTGACCTTTTCAGTTAGGTAACCTGAATTCTTCAAGCTTGCAAAATCCTAGCTCTGGGCCTTCTAGATCTTATTCAAACATCTAGTTTACCTAAATTATTACTGTGTGTGTTCTACTCCTGTTCTTTCTATATGAAGGCCTTTGGTCCAGTGAGCAGAACAGAACATATTAACCAGTGCTCCTAAAATGTTCTTCCAGCAACACAGGTACTGGGGTTTCTTAGCAGGCCAAGATATCTCAGTTAACTCTTTTAGGCCTGGCTCCTGTTTCATGGGAAAGGGGACTGGTCCTTTCTGGTAGAAAGGGATGGACTGACAGTCACTGGACTCCAGGGGTTGCCTCCCCATCAGGGGGTTCATTCGGGGTGGAAGCAGCAGCTGAAGCTCTTCCTGCAGTCGGGGCACACATACAGCTTCCCTTACCTGTGGGTCCGTTGGTGTGAGGTCAAGGCTGAGTTCCTGGGAAAGCTCTTCCCACACTCCCCACACTTGTAGGGCCTCTCCCCAGTGTGTATGCGCCGGTGGGTGATGAGGTGGGAGTTCTGCCTGAAGCCCTTCCCGCAGTCGGTGCAGCGGAAGGGCATCTCATCCGTGTGTGTCCGCTGGTGCAGGAGGAGATTGGAGCTGGTCCTAAACCTCTTCCCACATTCCAAGCACCTGTAGGGCCGTTCCCCGGTGTGGATGCTCTGGTGTCGGATCAGGGTAGACTTGTCTGTGAAGCTCTTCCCACATTCCACACAAGTGTAGGGCCGTTCTCCGCTGTGGATGCGCTGGTGGGTGAGGAGGTTGGTGCTCGTCCTGAAGCTCTTCCCACATTCCCCACATGGGTAGAGGCGTTCTCCAGTGTGGATGTGCTGGTGTTGGATCAGGGTAGAGTTGTACCTGAAGCTCTTCCCACATTCCCCACACATGTAGGGCCCTTCCCCAGTGTGGATGTGCTGGTGGGTGCGGAGGGTGGAGCTGTTCCTGAAACACTTCCCACATTCCCCACATGGGTAGGGCCGTTCCCCGCTGTGGATGTGCTGGTGTCGGATCAGGGTAGAGTTGCACCTGAAGCTCTTCCCACATTCCCTACATGTGTAGGGCTGTTCCCCAGTGTGGATGTGCTGGTGTTGGATCAGGTCAAAGCTGTCCCTGAAGCTCTTCCCACATTCCCCACATGGGTAGGGCTGTTCCCCACTGTGGATGTGCTGGTGTCGGATCAGGTTGAAGCTCTGTCTGAAGCTCTTCCCACATTCCAAGCACCTGAAGGGCTTCTCCCTGCTGGGAGGCTGCTCAGGGACCACCAGCTCAGAGCTCTGCCTCAAGTTCCGGCCGCTTTCGCGGCACAGGCTGGGTCTTTCCTCCTCAGAGCACCCTGGGCTGGCTTTGGAGCCCCTCCTGCGGGAGGATCTCCGGCCCTTTTCCACCCCGCTGCCTTCCTGCGTCGGGGAGCCCTTCAAAACGGCCTCTTCCACCAGGTTCTGCCGGGGGGATTTGTCCTCCGGGCTCTCCGTCCTCAGTTCGGGGCCTGGGGCAGGAAGCAAGAAGGACAGGGAGGGGATTTGCCTTCAGCCCACAGGGAAGGCCAAGGACATCCCCCAACTCCGGCCCCGGCAGGATGGCGGTGGCAGCGGGGTTGTCCTGCAGCCGGGGCCATGCTCGGCTGACAGAGCCAGCACAACACCCGCCCAAAGGGCCACTGACTTCCTCCTCACCCGCCTGGGGGGCCCAAAGCATCTTCCTCTTCCTCGCAGCCTCCTCCTCCATCTGACCAAGCTTTGGGAAGGACAAATCCTGATGGGGGA